ACTGAGCCAGCCGAGTCTCGTTTCGGCAAGCATTCGAACGAGACCTGGGTATTCGCGACGTCGAAGGAGGGGGACCTGCGGTAAGGCATACCGTACCGAATCGTTACGCGGGACCTGCAACCATTGCTCTTGCCAGGGATCCAGAGCAGACTCGAAAGCTCTTTGAAAAGTACAAGCCAACCCATGTTATTCATCTGGCAGCAGTCGGTGGGTCTTCTACTGCGCATCGATAGCGTACGATGTGCTGATTCCGTATCCAGTGGGTGGCGTATTCGCCAATATGAGGAGTAACGCCAGTGCTTGTCTCTATCCTGGCTTCCTTGTACATTGACATCCCTACAGGCCAGTTTCCTGAGGGATAACCTTCTCATCAACGACAACGTCCTACACACGGCCTACCTCTTCAAAGTCCAGAAAGTCGTGTCGTGTCTCTCGACATGTGTCTTCCCGGACAAGGTCACCTACCCCTTGGACGAGACGAAAATCCACCTCGGCCCACCGCACCCTAGCAACTTTGGCTACTCGCATTCAAAACGGACAGTGGATATCATTAACCGGTGCGCCTGCTATCCGTTGATATCGATATACAATCTGATCGTCTACTGCAGTGCCTACAAGGAGCAGTACGGCTGCAATTTTACCTCTGCCATCCCCACGAACGTGTTTGGCCCTCACGATAACTTGTAGGCTTCTCACGCCATATCCGATTTCCCATCCTGATTGTCCTCAGTGATCTGGAAGACGCTCACGTTATCCCCGCTCTAATTCACAAATGCCTGCTAGCACAGAGTACGTCGCATAATCGCGTAACAAATCACCTCATCCATTGTATTCATAGAGAACAACACACCCTTCATTGTCGGTGGAACCGGAAAACCTCTGAGACAATTTATCTACTCTCACGATTTAGCCAAAATGTTCATCTGGCAGCTTCGGGAGTATGAAGACGTTGAGCCTGTCATCTTTTCCGGTTCGTCTCGCCGTTTCTTGCGAAATTCCATATTCTGAGGGACCTATCTAGTTGGAGAAGACGAGGAAGTCACTATCAAGGATGTCACGGACGCTATTGTAAAGGCATTGGACTTTAAAGGCGATTACACCGTAAGTGATGCATTCTTTACTATTTGCACTGCGAGACGCGTTTGTACAGTTCGATATCACTCGCGCAGACGGCCAATACCGTAAACCTGCCTCCAACAAGAAAGTGATCTCCCTCATGGGAGGCTTCCAGTTCACTCCGTTCCCTGAAGGTGCGTTTTACCACTGCCCATGCCGGAAATTGAGTTACTCATGCGATATAAAGCCCTCGACGCAACTGTGAAGTGGTTCTTGGCGAACTATGACACTGCTAGAACAGGGTTCAAGAAGTAGATAGAATGGACAATTTCGCATTAGATGCACCGTGGAAATCAACCAAATTCATCCCGTCAGGGTATATGTAAGAAACAAACAGTGAATGTCCGGTCCGTGGTCTAATACAGCAAGATGCCTCTTGGGTTTTGTACAGAATAATACCTAATTTTGATCCTCCACTAAGCTTTTGACAGCCTTGAGGTCCGCCGCGACCATCTCCTTTACCAGAGAGTCAAAGTCAACCTTGCGCTTCCATCCAAGAACACGCTCGGCCTTTGCAGGGTTCCCAAGGAGGAGGCTATGATAACAATGAGTAAAGGTCGCGTGCTAATATCAGGGTGTACATACTCGACTTCTGCCGGACGGAAGTACTGTGGGTCCACCTTTACGACAGCCTTGCCCGTCTTAACATCGATTGCCTCTTCATCTATTCCCTGGCCAGACCACCTATATGCGAGTATAAGTAGAAAGCAAAGCAAAGAGGGGCGCAGCGCACTGTAGCTTGATATCAAGCGCCGCAAAAGACTTGTTGACAAACTCCCGAACAGGGTGAGTCTCGCCAGTAGCAAGAACGAAATCCTCAGGAGTGGGCTGCTGCAACATGAGCCACATCCCCTCGACGTAATCGCGCGCTATCCCAAGACGTAAGAAGACAATGATATAAAAGCCGAACAATACCCACCGTGTCCCCAATCACGCTGAGCATCCAGATTCCCAAGGTACAAGCACGACTGCTTTCCCAGCGAAATATCAGCCGCCGCTCTCGTGATCTTCCTCGTAACGAACGTCCGGCCTCTCCGTGGGCTCTCGTGGTTGAACAGGATCCCATTGCACGCATACATCCCGTACGCCTCGCGGTAATTAGTGACTATCCAAAAGGCGTAGAGTTTGGCGCACCCGTAGGGCGACCGGGGGTAGAACGGGGTTGTCTCACTTTGAGGGCTCTCCACGACCTTGCCGTACAGCTCGGACGTCGACGCCTGGTAGAACCGCACATGCTTCTCGAGCCCGCAGGTACGGATGGCGTCGAGCAGCCGCAGCGTGCCCAGCCCGTCGACGTCCCCAGTGTACTCGGCCATTTCAAAGGAGACCTTGACGTGCGATTGCGCTCCGAGGTTGTAGACCTCCGTGGGCTGGACCTGGGCGATGATGTACACGAGGTTGGTGCTGTCGCTGAGATCGCCGTAGTGCAGCTTGAACTTGTTGGGCCCTGGTGAGGGACGTCAAAGGGGATTACTGGCGAGCAGGACGGGGCGACGTACGTTCATGCTGATCTTCGTACAGATGGTGCAGACGACCGGTATTGAAGCTCGACGAACGGCGAATGATGCCGTGCACTTGGTAGCCTTTGGAGAGCAGGAGTTCCGTTCTGTTGCCCGGCGAAAAATGAGAGAAAATTGCGGAGACTGTGATGGTACGCACAGATACGAGCCATCCTGGCCGGTGATACCTGGAGACATCCATGAATAGGCGCGCGATCCGACTGCAGAGACATACCGGAAATGAGAGCGACCTTTCGCTTGCGATACTCCTCTGCAGACGGTAATTCAGGCTTTGCGAATGGCGGGACGACGTCTGCGATGGACATGATGGTGGTGGAAGGAAGGATAGGCTAATATTGGCGCCATGTTAGGTTTATTATTTTTTGCTGCGGTCACTTTTTCGTTTCACAATAATCTGCTTCGATTCTTATCCGCTATCTGCGTTGCTACAGCGCGCCTACTGACATCACGATACAGGGACAGTACAGGACAAATGCAGGCACAATTTCATAGACGGGCAAAATGAGACTGAACAAGACCCCATTCTAATATACAATATTCTAGTACAAGGGCGACGATGCCCGCAAATTTCTTCGTTTTGGGGTCTCGTGCCAGATGGAACCATCAAAGTCGGTGATTTCAGTGCTGATTCTGGTCCGTCTTTCGTCTTCACAAAGATTCGCTCGTAGTTATCTACGCCGCAGATAGGCACGAATGCACGTAATTCATGTTGTCGGTAATAGAGGGCAACCCGTTGAGGGTGTCTTATCAGTGAGCTGCTTGAGGTCGATAGAACATACACGAAATGCGGGAAACCTGAAGGCCAGAACATTGAACGCTACAAGGAGAAAAGGATAGTAGCCGCTGCAGAATAGAATACCGCAATGTTCTCATGTCAATCAACAATGAAAAATTGTATTTCATCGTGATCAAAGAGCCCGTCTAGTTTTGAGTAATGTTACATACTGTATAACAGCAAAATTTTACCATCAGTACCTGCCGGCAAAAAATGATAAACAACACACCCACGCTTCCCCACAGAGTAGATGTATATCCCTCGTCGAACCATAAGCTTCAAGAGCACTAGCTTTTGTCAGTCAACCGTAATGCAACAAGGGCTGGTACGATGCTGAAAGAATAGCACCGGGTCATCATAATTTGCGTGTCCGGGAAAGCATCAGATGTAGAAGCGACGTTGATAGATACCTGACAGTGTGCGGAGCTAGCATGGTTTGATCATGATAATCGTATTCATGCCGCTTAAGCTTAAGGTGCCAGAGCGAACGCAGCGTAGGTCCCGCTTGTCACGCAGAAGATGCTCGCAAGTTTAACGTTATTATACAATGAAATTCTTCAAAGCGGCCTTATGCACTGTCAATGAGAAAGAATCAAGCGAGAGTGCATGATTGCAGACCTGTATAATGTCTGCAGCGGCCGCGGACTAGTAGCAGAAGATCTGCCAGGGCCGTCCATGAAAAACGCCTTCTAATTGGTCTTGGTCTTGGTCTTCCTCGAAATTGTTCGCCTGGTCAATATCCACGCCGCTGACAGGATACCATACGGCGGAACCAACCAGCTCAGCACCCAAGTCCACCCAACAGCTTTCTCCAATTCTTGAACAAACGCGGTAACCTGCCCCTCAAGGTTCTCCCTGGTACTCGAGTTGTCGATCACAACGTCCGCATACTTGACTTTGTCGCTGATGGGTAGTTGGGACGATAATCTGGCAGAGGCATCCTCTCGGGTTGAGCCATCACGCTGCATCAGTCGCTCAAGCTGTATCTCCTCGGGACTAGGAAGACGTGATTAGCAGACGGAGTAAACACACCAGTAGGAACATACCAGTATACCACGGCGACCTGGGCGACCCACTTCCATATAGGCCCTTCAATAAGAAGCGGCACGTCCAAGACGCAATATTTCTGTCCACAGAACCAATGCTTCACCACCTTCCAGATCATCGTCCTACGAATAGCAGGATGCAGAATTGCATTCAATCTCTTCCGCTTCGACTCGTCGCTGAATATGACCGAGCCCAGCTTCTTTCGGTCCAGGGATCCATCAGGAGACAACACCTCCTCGCCAAAGTACTTGACAATCTGTTTGAGCCCTGTGGTACCGGGCTCGACGACCTTTCTCGCTATGATATCGGCGTCGACGATAGGAACGCCCTTGTCGCGCAGCAGAGCAGAGACCGTCGATTTGCCGGTCGCGATGCCTCCCGTCAGACCTACGACTGAGAGATAGTGTCAAAAAAAGAATGTAGTAGGTAGTGAAGCATAGAGGGACTCACCGAACATGACAAGTGCAGTTAATGAATTCTTGCCCGCCCAAGTGAGATATAATTATGTGCATATATAGACCTCACTAAAATATTTAGTATATCCGATCTTAGCTCAGTTGGAAGAGCGTGGGACTGTAATTGGATGAAATAGTTCATGATGTAGACGTCATCCCGAGGCCGTGCGTTCGATCCGCACAGATCGGATTTTGTGAATTTGAGTGATCTCTTTTACAACTTTTAGTGAGTAGCGGACAGTGGACTATAGGGCTGCGCACGAAACCTCTGGGGGGTGTAAAATACGGTTTTATACCGACCCCCCTTGGAGAGGGGTGTTTTGATACGGTAATTTACCGTTACTTACCCTATCACGTGCATAATCACATGCCTGACGCGCGTCATTTGCAAAAATTTCGCAGCATCTTCATCTTCGTATTCTTTTACACATTTTTCTGTCTCCTGAAGTGTGATTCATTGAAAGTTACTAAAGAGATATGTTTTAAGCTGTAAATAAAATATAACTACACTAGGATTGAATATAGTGGTAATATTGATGCTGAAATGTCATCACATGACAGGTAAGTTACCTCGACGAAAACCCCTCCAGCGGGGGGAGGTAACTTACCGGTCCGAAACCCTAGTGTATCAAAACCTAGGGTTTCGTGCGCAACCCTAGTGGACTACTACTAGTGAGCACTGAACACTAGTGACTGCGGCGTGAGCTCTGTATACCGATTTGTCAAACAAGGAATGATGAGGCCTTTGAAATTAGGAGGAATGGCAAAGAATCAATGATCGATCACATTGCTTTGAACAAGCGATCATGCCGACTGTGAGCCAAGTAGCAAAAGCAAAAGGAAGGTCCCTACATCACTTGGGTGTCTCAACATGAAATGTACAATACAAACTGGGACGTGCTATGAACTAAGATTGGGATTGTTACCTCCTCCGAGGTGAATAAGTACTAGCCTTTCCAAGCCTTTCGCAGTGTATCTGATAGTTAAGCATTCTCTCCATAGCAGATAGACAGCAAAGACCAAACATATTTCGCGTAACTATGCCCTGTCCAGCTCACAACTCAAAATCCCTGTTAAAGGTCTTTGACTGGCATCCATATTGACGCAGTCCTTCAGCAACGCCCAGATTGGTTCAGGTAAGTCAGAAGGCTTTTCGGGTCGATACCCATTCACTAAGACTTCATTGATAATCGCCCCTTCTGTCCAAATGTGAGAGAAGGGAGGCCTGCCACTGTATATCTTTCAAGAGCGTTGATTTTGGCTATGAATATCGTACCCCAAATAACCCTCACCTCTATGACTGTACACCCGTACGAATAGACGTCTCTTGCTGTCACATATCGTTGATCAAAAAGTCGAATCGCCATCAGCTCAGGAGGAAGCCACCGTAAAGAACCACCCAGACGGGATAATGATGAGCTTCCTGGGGCTTGAGATTCGACCGCCAGTGCCAAACCAAAGTCGCACAAGCAGCAATGAAAGTCATCAGTAACAAGTATATTGGCCTGCATGAGTATGTTAGAAAGTACTCTCGACAAGGTGTTATACTGACTCCACGAATGTCGCCGTGGACTATAGGGGGGTTGAGTGAGTGGAGGTAAGCCATGCCTCTTGCGATTTCCGTTATCTGAAAGAGTCCATGTCAATGAAAGCCAAGGCATCGGTGAGAGTGAGATACGGATTGCAGCCGATTGTGGCAAGGATTACGCTCAAGGAAAGACATGATATTTCCGTTCTTCATCCACGGAGAAATCAAGCAAAAGCTTGGAGCAAACAAGTCCCTTCGGACACCTAGGAATGGAAGAATATTCGGGTGCTTCAAATTCCTCCACAAAAGAGCCTCGCTACAGAAGTTCTGGAAAGTCGAGCGAGTGGTCAACAATCAGGATGCAACGATGCAATACATACTCTGATTATTTGCTCTCTCCTCTCGAAGCCATTGTCCGTAAAGAATCTTAGAACCTTGAAGCAAATGGGAGCTCCGTTCATCCGGCCCTTCCATATATCCTGGAAAGTATCAGCCTCACGGAATCTCAGTTGAGAGAGGCTCCTTACTGCAAATCCACCTCCCCAAACCGCATGATCACCAGCATGCCGTCTGGCGGCTGGGCAGGACAGAGACATTGGAAGGATGCCATACGTCTTGGCAAGCAGCAAAAGACTCTTCAGGCATCGCGAGCGGTAGGTACCATCCAAATCGGACACAGTAGAATCACATTCCTACGTGAGTATATAAGCGTCTACCTGCTGGATGGTGCCTATACGCGTACCTGTTGCAAGAAGTTTATGGCTAGAGTCGGGTCATCGTCTGCAATGTCACAAATATCTCTCCATGGCTTGTTAGAGTCGAGAAAGTCATGCAGCATCGTGGCCATTGGCCCAAAAACTAAACGACTCTGTTCCAATGAAGGGCTGTAATTCGACTCTTCACCAGAATCAGACCCCGAGTCGTCAGATCTCTCGTGAATGTTATCAAAACCTTCGTTGAAAGTTGTAGCTCGAGTGCTAGCGCTTCCAGTATCAGACACGGAAGCAAAAGTGATTGTAGTAGCAATAGATGCAGTATCACTCGCAAGCTCATTCCGGCCAATGCGAGTCTAGGAAAGCTATGGTCGTATGTTTAATATGTACACGAAAATTGCTCACCAGAAACCGCTGGCGGATGCAATGAACATCTTCAAGAATGTCCATTTCGAAGGCGAGGAGCTTGGAATAGTTGCGGAAGCCTCTATATCGCACCTGCGCCCTCTCGATCTTTTCAGCAAGTATTGTAAGTTCGCTGCATTGTCATTGAAACGGGGTGAAGACGAGGAATGGGAGCGGCATACGTACTGCATGAGTGCTACGTCGCAGAATATCTCACTGCGCCTCTTCTGCAGAATCTGGACCAATTCTTTGCCACGAATCAACGTGCCGCCGATATCAATGATGTTTTTGCCGTCACCGTTGCCCTAGGAAGAATATTAGTCAGAGACCGTGTTTCCTTGGCTTTTGCTTGTCAACGCCCATAGCCTACCGTCAACGATTCCAATAATGCACAAATATGGTCGTTCGGATCAGGTCCTATATCTGAAGTTGCGCCATGATTCGAGCCACGATCCTAGATTAAGAGATCGCGTGAAGACCACAAAATAAGAACATAGGATTTACACGAACAGGCCCGTCGTCTTGTAGAACGTCCGTCCTTGGAGTCCTACTATTTTGCGGACTTCTAGTGGCGATACTCGTAATAGATTGGATCTCGGACGAGTCCTGCGCGAATCATTTCATATGATCTAGCCAAACATGATAGATACTTACATCCTCCCCGAAAGTATTCCAATATGCTACTATCAAGCTTAGATCATCTTGAAAGTCTGGATCGGAAACACAGTCGGGCGTCTCCATCATGATTGTTGGGCTGTGTGGAGTCAAGTGAGAAAAGACGAGGACATGAATTAGACGGCGAGGCTGAAGAGCCTTCGCAGGATCGGGGGTGCCGGTGAGCAGCTGAGACGGTTAGCAGAGGTTTGGCAACACGAAAGCAATCAAGGGTCGCGTTGTTCCATCAGACGTTCATCTCTGGATTTAGCAGGCAAGTCGTGCCTCATAGTCAGCTAATACGCGACAGTCCACCACATATCCATCCCAACGCATACGAGAAGCCCTAGTGGAGAATCCGATTTGATTTGCACCCGCAGGTCGAAGGAGAACATTGGGGCAAACGATAGAGGGAGGAAAAGAGAAGGAATTCTGGCGAATTCGGCGATAGCGGGCCGGCACAGGCCGGCGCTATTGCGATTTCTCTTTTCGCTCTGACCACATTCCCCTTCGACTCGCGCAGCTCGGATGCGACCTTACTCCCTGGCTTTCCGATATAAACACAACTGACCACGGGCATGTACCCCAGCACAAGCCTCTAATTGACACAGCAGCACAATCATAACAGGCGGTAGGGACAAATCCAGAAATTACAGGTTTTCGGTCGGGAGATAATGGCTGGCTGAGCAATCTGCAGGTGCGCCATTTGATTCAACCCTATTTCGTAGCCGCTCAGCGCTCCCTAGTTGTCATCATCGCAACAGCTACGTGTTCAAATTCATTGCAGTGGTCGACAGGGGATATGCCATTTATTCGCTATTCACGAAACAGAATCGTTGACGTCTTGCATTCGTTCGTCCAGCACACTTCAGGGTACCCTCGTCGACTAAATCGTTGGATAGCCCGCAAAATACACTAGCACTGATCTGGACACTCCTTGATTCTTCAGACAGAGATCTATTTTGAGTATACTCCATTTATTATCTCTCGCAGTTCACTACTAGTGCTATGTCCTCCGACGGCACCGCCCTCGATAGTGAGACTCTCAAAACTAGAAAGGCTCTTCCACCTAGTAATATCACCTTTCCAGATGGGTCAGGCGTCAATCTACCTGCCTGGATAGTGCCGCCTGACAGCCTTATGCGAAGCTTTTGTCGAAGTTTTCCGAGCAGGCAAAAGCTTCGATCTCGCGGGGAAATTTTTGTTCCTGAAATGCCGCCTGAAATCATCCTTCTCGTTGCGATCCTGAATCTGCATGCTCGCACAGGAATCGCTGATAATAGGTGTCAGCAGGAGTTCCCAACTAGTAGCCCCGCCGGGCGCCTGAATTTGAAAAAGTCGAAATGTATGAGATTGACTATTACTTGACAGAACGCATATCACGCACCAGACACCAGAACAGATAAGACGCGTATGCAGACTCCCGAGTGACCTGATGGAGGGGGGGGTATGTTGCCGACGTTCTGTCTGGCCTTTATCCAACATATCCAGTTATGCTGAGCCGAGAATCTTGAAAGTGTATCCATGAGTTCCATTTATGTAACATAACCTACAGTACCAACGAACCTCGACGACAATTTCCTGGTCTAAGGCGAGGCGAACCGTAAGGGCGCGTGATCATGAATATTCTTCACGTGGTCGTGGCGTAGCATCGACGTCATCGTGAACGCGCTGCTGTTATACAGGTATAAGTATTATATAAGTAATCGCCCGTCGTTCGCAATTCCTTACCACCTCCTATCACTTCTTCAACATGTCACTCCCATCCTCTACCTCTGCAGAGCTGCTGGCCGAAGTTGACAATGACAGCATCTCGAGACGCCAACAGCTGACACAGTCTATTACCGAGTCTACTCTCCCTATTCTCCTCGCCCAAGAAATTGCTACGAA